GATAATTTTTGTAACTTAGAAACATCGAAAGGAGAACTGATCGAAAGAATGTTTCTTTATTAAAAAAATGAATTATAGGAATCACGATTGGCTCAGTGAACGGGCTATTCTTGCTGCGAAGAATAAGGATGTCTATCAACCAAATAATAGTGGTATTGACAACAGTCGTTGCTTGAGCTGATCTGCTTTTTTACCAGACTGCCAGGCCACTTGCTCACTTTGGTGAATACCACTAATGTTATTCAATCCAGCATTCAACGTGAGGAAATAGCATTTACGTCGATAAACACCGTTGTGGGAAAAAGACCATCCAACGGAATTTTTGAATTCGATTGATCTTCCTGGGAGATAACACATACTGAAATTGAAAATAGGTGTGACAATTATCATGTTGCGGAATATTAATCAGCCAAAACTTTGCAACGGCACGCGACTCGCATTTAAGAAATTGATGAAGAAAGTAGTGTAAGTAAATATTTTAACGTGGCCTTTCAAAGGTGAAGAATTCCCATGATTCCGACCGATACACCATTTCAATTTAAAAGATTGCAATTCCCAATTCGATTGACATTCGGAATCACAATCAATAATGCTCCAGGTCGAACTTTGGAAAAGTATGGTTTAGATTTAGATGCGGATTGCTTCTCAGGTGTTGCGTAATCCTGTGTCGGCAAACAAGATATCCTTGATATCTATGCAGAGAATGGAAAAACAACAAATATTGTGTGCACACAAGTATTTATTACATAACCAAACACTTATGAAACGTATGGAACAAATTCCGTTAATAATTTACCAACCATATAAAAGGAATATGCCACAGCAAAGCGTGGCAGGGTACAGCTAGTTTATTTTATAAATTTTATAAATTTAACTGAACTAAAATTTTCAAATAGGTGGCAACCCTCCTCAAAAGTATTTTCAACAGTCATATTTTCTAGCCCTCTTTAATTTGATACCTATGTTGTAATAGGTCATTCATTTTACCTTTAAATTGAGTTGAATTTTCAAACAGATGGCAACCCTCCTCAAAAGTATTCCAGCAGATATCTTTCTTAACCCTTTTTAATTTCATACCCACATTGCAATATTTCATTTACTTTATCAATTTAACTGAGTAAAAATTTTCAAATAGGTGGCAATCCTCCTCAAAAGTATTCCAGCAGATATCATTTTTCACCCTGTTTAATTTTATTGCCACATTGCAATATTTCATTTATTTTATAAATTTAACTGAGTTAATCTTTTCAAATAGGAGGCAGTCGTCCTCAAAAATATTTCCAACAGTTATCTTTCTTAAAGCTCTTTAAGCTGATACCCGTATTGCAATATTGTATTTATTTTATCAATATAACTGGATTTAAAAAGTTTCAAACAGGTGGCAACTCTCCAAATTTTTGTAATATAAATGATCCCGGTATTATACCGAACAATACAAAAAAAATTATTCAAATTAGTTAAGCGGTTCTCGAGTTTTGATGACCGTGACTAACGAACACAACATTTATGTATGTATATATATATAGATATAGATTTCTAAATCAAGATTTCTCAAGTGCCTTTAGTTTGGTACCGATATTGTAACATTTCCCTTATTTTACCAATTTAATTGAGTTAAATTTTCAAACAGGTGGCAACCCCCTTCAAAAAAATTTTCTACTGTAGTTCTTTTAAAAACTTATTAGCTTGCTACCCACATTGCAATATTTCATTTTTTTAAATCAACTAAACTGAGTTAGAATTTCTAAATAGGTGGCAACCCTCCTCAAAAGTATTTCCAAAAGTCTTCTTTCTTAAACCTCTTTAATTTGATACCTATATCAATTAAATTGAGTTAAATTTTCAAACAGTTGGCAACCCTCCTCAAACATATTTTCGTCTGGAAGCCTTCTTAAAAATCTAAAGGTTGATACCCAAATTACCGTATTTCATTTATTCTATCAAAATTGAGTTTAAATTTTCAAACATGTGGCAAATTTACTCAAAAGTATTTCCAGCAGTTATCTTTCTTAAACATCTTAATTCTAATATCTATATTGTAATATATCATTTAGTTTATCAATTAAATTGCGCCAAATTTTTTAACAGGTGGCAACCCTCCTTTAAAATATTTTCGGCTGTAAGCCTTCTTAAAACTCTTTAGTTTGATACCCACATAGCAATATTTCATTTACTTTATCAGTTTAACTGAGTTAAAATTTTAGAATTGGGGCAACCCTTCTCAAAAATATGTCCACCAGTTATCTTTCTTAAACCTCTTTAATTTGATACCAATATTGTAATATTTCATTTATTTTATCGATGTACTTTAGTTAAATTTTCAAACAGGTGGCAACCCCCTTCAAACATATTTGCGGCTGTAAGCCTTCTTAAAACTCTTTAGTTTGACACCCACATGGCAATATTTCATTTATTTTATCAATTTGACTGAGTTAAAATTTTCAAATAGGTGGCAACCCTCGTCAAAAATATTTCCAGCAGTTATCTTTTTTAAACCTCTTTAATTTGATACCCATATTGTAATAATTTTTTATTTTATCAATATAATTGAGTTAAATATTTTCAAATAGGTGGAAACCCTCCAATTTTTTGCGATATCATTGGTTCTGGTATTATACCAAACAATACAAAAAAAAAATTATTCAAATCGGTTCAGCCGTTCTCGAGTTTTGACGACCGTGATATACGAACACAACATTTTTATTAATATAGATTTGTCTATATCTATATCTATCTCGATTCGTTTTGGCTGTTACAAAGAACCGTTATGTGAATAAAATTATAATACCCTTGTGCACATGTGCGCTCGAGTATTATAAATATGAAAATTGAGCTTGATTAATAGATTTTTAAAAACTTTACAGCACAAAAACAAAAACAAATCGATTTAATGGTTTTCCAAATATCTCGAGAACGGGGCGAGGAAAAAATTAAAAAAAAATACACATCTACACATCAAAATTCTCTATGAAAATAAATATTTTTTAAATATTTTTCTTGAAAAGTTTTGCACATATAAATTTTTTGATAAAGAAAATTAGTTTTTGAACTTATGCCATCTCAAAAAAAAATGGAAAAAAATCACAATGGTAGCCCTGAGTATTGCGCAATATTTAAGTAGCGTATTATGGGCAGTGTTGCCATTTTAGCCGTTTTCCGGCTAGATTTAGCCGGTTGCGATAGCAAACAGCCGGAGAAATTTCGATTTAGCCGGCAGCCGATTTGTTAGCCGTTTTGCAGAAAAAAATTAGCCGTTTTTAGCCAATTTTGCTATTTGTCTTGTTTTCTTAAATTTCAAATATGTATATATGTTTCCATTTTTGACTAAACGACCCAAAATCTGTTAGAAATGGCTACTAGCCTTATCGTGGAGAAAATTTACATGTCAGGCAGGGTTGTATGAAATTGAACCGATTTCGCTTATTTTTATTTTAAACGAAGAAGGGATTTTCTTCATAAAATGTTTGTTATAAATGTCTTAATTTTAAGTGTGAAGATGTATTCGCAAAGAAATAAATGAGAAAGAAAATAAGAAATTGTTTCACTGTTAAGAGACTTAAGATTCGTTTGTGTTGGGATATAGTGCCAACAAACAGAATAAATATTACATGTAGATATTGTCTTCCCAGATAGCGCATATTCAATTCTGCATAAATTACAAAACATCATTCTTGCCCACTCCCAAAGGTTTAAGATATGGGAAAAATTGATATTTTCAAGCACTATGTACCCATATGTATTTTTTTAAACAAACTTTTTTGCTGAGAACTTATTTAAATTCCAAAAACCGAATGCCAGCTTGAATTAAAGGAACCAACACTGAAGTGAGTCAAAATGAAAATAAAAGAGCACAAATTTCTATGTAAAGCAAAACTCTCTGGGAATCCTACGAGACATCTGCCGGTCATATGACTGGTCATCTAAATGGGAGATCTGCAGTCTTTTGGCATCATATTTTACATCAGAATTGAAGGGATTTCTGAAAAATCTGACCAGTTCTTTTGTGTAACTGTGATTTTGCATCCCTTGTCAACATATGGCCTCGGTTGATGTTAACTTAAGGCCGTTGTTTTACTGCCTTAAAATTGAAGGGAAATTTTTACAGCGTTTTTTATGTGTATTGGTTTCTATCTGAGTGTATTGAGAATCGGTCAGTCTGAAAAGCCCTTGCAGGGAAGACAATTATCACTCAAAATATCAGATAGTAATAGTAATAGATAGTTTTTTTTGCCGAGTACCTTTCAAATCATTGGAATTAACTAAATTAATTAAGTAAAGAAGTATTAACTCACATTTTTCATTTTAAAATCGCTCCAGTTTGTAAATTTTTAAATTTAACGAACTGGTTTATTCAAATTATCGTCGACAAAAAATCCAACCATGTGCCACAATCATGTTTTTCCTAATTGCAAATTCTTGCTGGCAAAATTTTTTCCGGCTCGAATTTGTAACTTCTCTCCAAGAAATAGTCTTTTTACTCGTGATTTATTTAAACAAATCATGTGAAATTTAGTTGAAACATTTTAGCCGTTTTTAGCCAGTTTTATTTGCCAATTTGGCCGGTTCGTCCAAAAAGTTCTGGCAACACTGATTATGGGGTACACTCTACAATAATTTGAGATATGAATTTTTTTTTTAACCGAAGGTGAGTAAAATGAGTACATTACGAAATAGTAGACGTGTTTATGCGCTTAAAATTTGTATGGAGCAGTAAGCGACAAACTTTATGTGAGCTTATGAATGTGGATGCTTGTTTTTTTACGCGGTAAGCGTAGATGTATATGTGTGTAAAAAAAACACGGCTAATAATTTAAAAAAAATTTTTTTTTTAATATGTAGTTTTGTAGCCTATTAAATTTTAGTATAACAAAGTGCCAGTTTAAGCTACTGCAAAATTGCGTTGATTTTTAATATTTTTTGTGCTGACGGCTTTATGCACTTTTTTCTTATGGAAGAAAATTAAAAAAAAAATTAACGCTAGGTTTGCAATCGCTTAAAACTTGCACTTGCACTAAAATTTAATGGGCTACAAAACTGCATACTAAAAAAAATTCAAGAAAAAATTTTAACAATTTTTAAATTCGTAATGTACTCTCATTTTACTCATCACTGCTGTAACAAAATTCATAACTCAAATTATTGTAGAGTGCACCCCATAATGCTATACTTAAATATTGCGCAATACTCAGAGCTACCATTGTGTTTTTTTTAATTTTTTTGAGATGCCATATTTTCGAAAACTATTTTTTTTAATCAAAAAATTTGTATTTGAAAAATTAAATAAAAAAAAGAAATATTTCTTTTCATAGGAATTCTGATGTGTGTATGTGTGACTTTTTTTTCAAATTTCTTCCTCGCCCCGTTCTCGAGATATTTGGAAAACTATTAAATCGATTTGTTTTTGTTTTTGTGCTATAAAGTTTTTAAAAATATATTAATCAAGCTCGAATTTCATATTTATTTTTTATTTATGTTTATCCATCAACCCCTGAAAATTTGAAACAAATCAAACACATGAAGTGTGAACCCCGTCCATTTTGGTGTTTGAAAAAACTCAAGGAAATAGCGCAGAGCTAATAAAAAAGAAATGAATTAATCGTATCAAAAGCCCTTATATGATATTTTTCTAAGAATATTTTTCAAGAACTTCATCTAATTAAACAATAAATTAAGGATATCTTCCTTATTTGAGCTAAACTCGAAAAAAGCCGTTAACGTAGTTGTAAAATAGACTAAACCAGATTCGCAATTAAGATGTTTTATTTAAGTAAAATTTTGGTTTTGGTCTACAAACTATTACATCAACCGCGATTGGCGCGAATTACAGAAAACCGCGTTAGGCGCGGGTTTTATGTGGTATGTTCTCGTCGGCTTTTGCGCTGCGAATGACTTTGAACAATTAAAGGACAAATATAGGACAAGTAAAATATAAGTAAATAAGTAAATACATAAATGTTCGAAAATAACATAGCGGTAACATAAAATTATCTGGTACTGCCGGATGGATGTTGTAGTTGACATGTAGGTGGCGTTAACATCCCACCCCGCGGCGAATCCTAGTGGGGATTCGCAAACTCCAGAGCGGCTAGCTTCGAGGCTGGACGACGAATAGTTCCACCACTGGTTTGTACCGTGGCGCTTCTCACTTGACCGTATTTCGCTTTAATGATTTCGGTGATGCGGCCGGTCTGTCACTGGCCTCGTGGCAAGTGCGGGTCGCAAACCAATACTAGCTGTCCTGGTTGAAGAGGAGTAGCTTCTTTATGCCATTTTGAACGCGTCAGAAGTTGTGGTAGGTACTCGTTGATCCATCGCTTCCATAAGCGATCTTTTAAGTTTTGCGCGATCCTCCACTGCTTTCGGAGGCACACCTTCTCGTCGGCATCGCCAGGAGTCTGCGTAGGATTGAGGCCTCCCAGAAGAAAGTGGTTTGGAGTCAGTGGTTCTGGGCTCTGTGCCGACAACGGTATGTCTGTCAACGGGCGACTGTTGACAATGTTTTCGGCTTCAATGATCACGCTACAAAAGGTCTCCAGTCGAGGGGCCTCTTCCTTTAATACACATTAAAGGATTCGCTTGACACACTGAATCAGGCGTTCCCAGCACCCACCTTCGGCTGGATTGGCTGGACAACTGACTTTCCATTCGATCCGGTCCCTTGACGTCTCACGTTGAATAGCTTCAAAATCAAAAATTCTCTCGTCTTTTGCCAAGTCATGTTGTGCTCCAACAAAGTGGGTCCCGTTATCGCTTCTTATGCGAACTGGTACTCCCCGGCGGTTCACGAAATTTCGCAAACAAAGCAAGAATGCGTCGGTTGAAAGATCGACTGACACTTCGAGATGAATCGCTCTTGTGGTTAGGCAGGTGAAGACGGCGATCCAACGCTTCTCACGACGTCGACCAATGCTGACGAAGAACGGGCCGCAATAATCAATTCCGGTATAGGAAAATGGGCGGACGTATGGCGTTAGACGATCGCGTGGTAGCTGACCCATCAAAGACGTGGTCGGCTTGGCCGACTGACGTACACACACTGGACATCCTTTTATTACAGCTTTCAGTACGGCGTGTGCATGTGGCACCCAAAAGCGCTGACGCATTTCATTGATCGTTAACCTGTTGTTTTGGTGATGATTCTTCCGATGAAAGTGATCCAAGACGAGAGACGCAAGGCGATGTCTCTGCGGTATAATAATTGGACGGCGTGTATACTCCGGCAGACAGTATGCGGCATCGATTCTGCCATTTATGCGCAAGCTCCCATCCGGATCTAGTTTTGGCGTCAGTTGAAATAGTGGGCTCGACCTCGGAAGACACTTGTTCGCACGTAGTGTGTTGATCTCATTGCCATAGACTTCGACTTGTGCTTGACGACATATGTAATTTTCCGCGGCTACCATCTCACTCGGCACTAACTCACCTCCTTGGCGTGATTCAGACTTTAGTTTGCGTATAAAACGTAAGATCCATGCTACCACTCGTAGTAGCCGTGTATAAGATGAGAACTTGTTGATATCGATGGCATTTCGACGATTATGTGCGACTAATGTCCTCTTTATACATTCTTCTTCAACGATGTTTGAGTGCAGTTGCTCTGGTTCTTCAGGCCAGTTCTCTTCTTTGGATCGCAAAAATGTGGGACCTGTCGTCCAGAGAGAATCTGTGCGACACATTGGCGACGACTTGAGCTTGGTAGCCTCATCCGCCACGTTGAGCGCTGAGGGCACCCATCGCCATTGACTCGGACTGGATGTGGCTAGTATTTCCGATATACGGGTTGAGACAAACTGCTTAAAGTCTCGTGTAGTTGACCGGATCCATAACAAAACGGTTCTCGAATCGCTCCAAAATGTAACGCTATCTATGCCTCGGTCAAGGCACCTTTCAACTGACAGTCGAAGACGGTTACCCAATATGGCGGCTTGCAGCTCCAAACGCGGCACTGTTGTTGCTTTTTTGGGAGCGCATCTCGCTTTAGCTGCTACAAAGGCGACTTGCACGGTGCTGCTGGTCAACATCCGGAGGTATACTACAGCGGCATAGGCGGTTTAGCTTGCGTCACCAAAAACATGAAGCTGAAGACCGTCGGCGGTGGAATATAACGGTGAGTAGCAGCGAGGTATGGAAAACTTGCGAACTTCCTGGAACATTTGCCACCATGTTGCCCATTGCGACGCGAGCGGTTCTGGTAAATAGTCATCCCAGTCGATGCCTTGTCTCCAGGTCTCTTGTAGTAGCAGCTTTATGGGGATGGTGACGTAGGCTAGCAGGCCAAACGGGTCATAGATGGCCATGGCCAAGCCTAGTAGCTCTCTTTCTGTAGGTGACCTCTTGCCATCTGTGACTTCTCTCGGTATATTCTGGAACCTGAAATGAAACTCCAGCGTGTCATTGGTGGAATTCCTATACATACCCAAGATTTTGTCTGTTCTTGGCTGACGTTCCATGCTGATGACATCGGACTGCACTGGGTTATCGTTGTTGAGTCGTAATTGCAGTTCCTTGCAGTTGGGAATGAAGTTCCGTAGATTTAACCCGGCGGCTGCGTTTATTGCTACTGCTTCGTCAACCACCTCCTTGGCTTCGGTTGGGCTATCGAAGCTAGCAACAAGATCGTCAACATATGTGTTTTCGGTGACGACTCTCACTCCCCTGGGCATTGTTTCCCGAAAATTGGCGGCGTTGATGTTCTTTACGTGTTCTGCGCAGCATGGCGAACAAGCTGCACCGAAAATCATTTACGTCATCATGTAAACTTAAATGGGCTCATTTTGATCTCCATCCCTCCATAAAAATCTTTGGGAATTCCTGTCACCCTGTCGAATCTTTATTTCCAAAAACATTTCTTCAATATCTCCGGCCGCAGCAGTTTGGCGTTGGCGAAACTTATGCATTATATTCATAAGCGGTTGTGCACATTTGGGACCTTTCAGTAGGAATGTGTTTAGTGAAACGTTGGAAACTGTGGCTGCTGCGACGAAAACTACGCGGAGCTTATTTGGCTTGTGGGAGTTAACCACACCAAAGTGCGGCAAGTACCAGGTGGCAGGGCTTTCTTGCATTGCTTCGGCTTCTGATAGTAACTGGACATACCCTTTGGCGATGTATTTTCCAATAGCTGATTTGTACATCTCAGCATATAGGCTGTCGTTTGCCATTTTGCTCTCTACTTTAAGCAATCTTCGTTTAGCCATCTCGTAGCTGTGAGGTAAGGCGACGTCATCCTCGCGCCACAATAGGCCCACTTCGTAACGCTGGTCAATATTTCGCGTCGTAGTTTCGAGGATAGTCCTAGCTCTGGTGTCGTCCTCGGATTCCAACGGTCTATCTGGTACCTTCACGCCTAAACTTTCTATACTGAAATAATCATCGACCAGTTGATGAAGCTGCTTCGTTGTAGGCGACCTTCGAACATGAAGACATTGGACTGCACTGGCTGACGGTGCTGAACCATAGGCTACCCATCCTAACTTGGTAGCGGCTGCTATTGGCTCATGAGGACCAGCATGTATTGTCCTTTCGGCCATACTTACATGACTGTTGTCTAAACCGATCAGTAGCGACGGTTTTACGGCGACATAACTCGATATTGGCACGTCTTCAAAATGACTATATTGGTGGCGATGAAATGTCTGCACCGGCAAATCCAACTCCTTGACGGTGGTTATATTCTTCAGCTGGTACCATGTTTTCGACTGGGCTCCGCGGACGTCCAGATTGAATACGCGCGATTCTTCTGTTGTGTGATTTTGGTTGAACCACTGTAATCTTAGCGGCTCTGCCCGACCCTTGACTCCGATCGCGTCAGCGATAGCTTCCTCCAACAGCGTAACCGATGACCCTTCGTCTAGAAGTGCATACACTTTCGTGCTGGCTCCGGGCCCCATCAAAATAACTGGTAAAATTTTGAAAAGGCAAGTACCGTGTTTACTATCGGTGCAGTTCAGCAAATGTTCATTTCTACTTTGCGGCTCGGCGATAGGCTGAGCTGGCGTTATCGGGGTGTGCTGATGTAAGAGCGGGTTGTGCATACGACTGCACCCATCAATCGCACACTCTTGTTTGCGTTGACATCTGGTCAGGCTATGACCGCGTTGCAAGCAATAGAAGCATAGACCCTTAGCCGTCACGAAATCCCATCTCTGGCGTACGCTAAATGCTTTAAATTGCCGACATGCCTCTAAATTGTGACCTTGATTACATTTCAAGCAGGAAAGTTGCTCTTTTCTTTGCTGTTGGTTACTATTAACCAGCACACGACGTGAGGTATTTGACGGACGACTTGGCGGTTGACATCTTGGACGTGTATTTGACGGCGCTTGACTGTTACGCATGCCAGACAACGTTGACGGCATGACACTAACTACTCTTGCTAATTCGCTTAGCCATTCTGCGAATGTCTGGACAGTAGGAAATGGTAAGACATTGGCAGCGTATTGGCTCCACTCAAACTGCTTCGAGCCGGGTAGCTTCAGTACAAGTAGCTCTAGGAGCATTGGGTTCAATAGATGATGCTCGCAGCTTGCTGCTTGAAAAAATGCGACAATGTTGCGAACCCTGTTAGCCAGCTCTAGCACTTGTTCCAGCCGGCCTTCATATATTATGGGAAATTCTTTTACTTTTCGCGTCTGCACATTTATGAGTAGTTCTGGTCTACCGCAGTTGAACTGGAGCTCCTCTATAACCTGCGGAACATTCTCGGGAAAAATTAGCAGCGATGACACAACACGCCTACCGTTGCCTTGCAGGGCTGTATGTAACCTCATAAGGTTCTGTCTGTTATTGTACCTGAACTCAATTGTGCTATCAATAAAATTCGCCCGAAATAGCGGCCAATCTTCTGGGTCGCCATAAAAAACTGGCAACGGATGTAATTTGACGCTAAAAATTTCAGAGTAGTAAGGTGTTAAGGCCGGCGACGGATTCTCTGATGGCTCCGTTGGCATAGCTTGCGACGGCAGATGATGTTGTGCATTCGGTGTTGGCGTTGACTGCTCCGACGGCAGAGCATTTAATGACGTCGACAGAATTCTGAGCGAAGGCGGCAGTGACTGACCCTGCAACGTATACGTTGGCGGCGGCTGCGCGATCGACTGACGCAGCGGCATGTTAGTTGATGACGTCGGCAGCGACTGACCCTGCAGTGTATAATTTGACGGCTGCGCTGCCGACTGACGTAGCGGCATGTTGGTTGATGGCGTCTGCAGCGACTGACCCTGCAGTGTATAAGTTGATGACTGTGCTATCGACTGACGTAGCGGCATGTTGGTTGACGGCGTCTGCAGCGACTGACCCTGCAGTGTATAAGTTGACGGCTGCGCTATCGACTGACGTAGCGGCATATTGGTTGACGGCGTCTGCAGCGGCTGACCCTGCAGTTGTTGATTCGATAACGGCGGCATTTGTCCGGAAGATAATGCGCGGTATATTGATGTTATAGGCGGTGGTTTATCACCACTGAGTAACGGTGGTTGACCCGAAGCGGGTAACTGTCGCACTTCGGCTTGCGGTAATGCTGTCTGGCAGGCAAGTGTTTCTGCTGCATCTGCTGATATGCGTGTGCGAAGCTCTACTATGTCCTTTTGACTTTGACACGTAGCCTCTCGCAACTCTTCTACCGTCTTCTTGATGCCGGTCAATGCTGAAAGTAGGGTGTTCATTTGCTCCTGTGACATGTGAGCCAAATTACCCTCCATTAAGGTTTGATTTGCAGCATCCTCCTCGTCTGAATGCCCTTCTTCATCCCGACTTGTGCCTCTGGTCGTCATTGGCATGCTTACTGTTACGATCAACCTATACTCCAGCAATTAGCCACCCGTACAGTAGTTGCAGCGATCTGGAACTATGTATATGAGGGAAGCAGTATAGTTGTTTAAGGCGGCGAACAACTAAACGGCTACTTCAACTCGCAAAGTCGTACAGCTCGTCTTCGTACAGAAAATGGCGACTTTTCGGGAGGACCATGCGACAAGATCAACAACTCGCAGCAAGTTGAGCACCCAATGTAAAATTATGTGGACAATGCAGCGACGACGCAGGCAAGCATACAGCTCGACTCCTTCTATACGTGTCCTTAACTCCTCGAAATGACCACAGTAGCCTTGCTACTGGAAAACGTGACTTGACGGTGACACCTTGACAAAATGCACCAGACAGCAACAACAAACAGCATACAAATATAGCACACGAGAAGTTCAGCTTAGCGGCCAATGAAGATACTGGAATCGTACAGCTCGACTTCTCCGTGATTTTTGTCTCGAAATGGTGAATTAATAACGCACGATTCGCGATTTTATTTAATATTTTAATTTTCTCAACTCTGTTGAGTGACTTTACAAATATTCGATCGCGATACTCTTTATTTGCACATGGCCGCGCGATTGTCAATGGCAATGACAAATTAAGAACTAATGCGCCGTTCAGACCATTAACGGCCATAAATTGCAAGAATCGGCGAGAACCACATAAAACTTTGTAAAATAGACTAAACCAGATTCGCAATTAAGATGTTGTTTTATTTAAGTAAAATTTTGGTTTTGGTCTACAAACTATTACATCAACCGCGATTGGCGCGAATTACAGAAAACCGCGTTAGGCGCGGGTTTTATGTGGTATGTTCTCCTCGGCTTTTGCGCTGCGAATGACTTTGAACAATTAAAGGACAAATATAGGACAAGTAAAATATAAGTAAATAAGTAAATACATAAATGTTCGAAAATGACATAGCGGTAACATAAAATTATCTGGTACTGCCGGATGGATGTTGTAGTTGACATGTAGGTGGCGTTAACAGTAGTATTATTGACTATTACTTGCATTTGGTTTTACCACAGAACAAACAGTATACAGAAGACGCATGTCGACTATCCAACCAATTTGAATTTATGGCACGAGCGGTGAGGCAAGCAAGGGTATCACAAGCGGCGCTGCCTCTGTTACTTTAGCGTTATTTTCACTCGGCTGACGATGTTAATTCCATCATCGCTATGACGACAAGATGTTAACTACGTTTTCCATCATGATCAGCGTTGCCGTTTTGGTACAATTGTATATTTTTTAATACTGTTTTTCTAAATTTTAATATCTGATACTTTTTTGTTTCCAAATGCCGTATTTTGATACTTTCGGCTGGCAGAAATGAATTTTCGAAAACTATGGATAGTACTACTAGTCTAAAGGCAAATATTTTTTTCTTGTTATTTAAAGTCTCACAATTTATATATAGATATTTATAAGTTGATTTGGTAACTCTTATAAGGGAAACACAACCCGGAATTTCTTTGCACACGCCACTGTTATAGGACCCCTAAACCACACAAAAACATAACGAAATATCGGGCTTGCGACGAGCGTTTGTGTGGTGTATGGGGTCGTTTGTACTAAATTGCACAGTTATTGCGCTAAAATAATAATTATTTTGATATTTTGCTCATGTTTGTGTTATTGTACAATAATTTGTGCTTCGTATGGCGACCACTGCGAAATTTTTAGTCTAATTTTGATTTTGGTGTCCAGATCGTGCTCTAAAATATGGGTAAAAGCGTGGAAAAAAAAATATTTTTTTTTTAACTTAGTTTTTTTTTACGTTTTAAAGATGAAGCTATCAATATATACAAAGCACATTCATATTTCTTGCACATATTTACTTGAGCAACGTTTC